AAAACCTCAAACTTTCTATCCTTAAATAATGATATGTAGAAATAGGAAACATACCCACCATGGTCAAAAATAAGGGACATAGTTTTAAATATTTTAACAAAATGATAAAACCCACGTTTGGCCTGGAAAATAGGAAGTTCTTGTTCTCAAGCTTCGCTTTATTCAGTATGCACAAATCATTTGACCAACCTTTGTCCAGGGCCCTGAAGTCTACCTCTTAAAGACGATAACGAACAAGTAACTGCTGTTTCAGGTCAAAGAAATTATTTAAAGAAAGAAATTTATTTTTTATCAAGTACTGTAGGTCATCTACTCACACACAAACACACACACAATGAGGAGAGGAAACACTTGAATAGCGCCAGTTAGCTGCTCAATAAGCCCCGACCTTCATCTCGTCTTCATAAAAGTTTTTTTTGTTTTTTATTTAAACAGTGGGTAAAAAAAAAATGCATTTCACGGGCTGGTTTTAAACTTTGATCATCCTTTGTTGAGAAAAGGTGAATGTAGGCATTTTGGTGAAGCCTTTATAACAAGTGTGAACTCTTGCAATATATCACACAATCTGTAATTCGTGGAGTATGACTCTCATCTACTACCGTGCCATGTTTCATCTCAACATCTGCAAAACTGCAGACATTTACAGCCATTTTTGTGCTGGCGAATGTATAGCTGTAGCAGCCATCTGTACACCCATTAACTTTGATAGTTTGATTAAAATCAATCTGTGGTTCACAAAAGACATTTTGCTAAAACTACAAACATATAAACACAGCTGCACATGTGGGATAAATTAATGCCTTCAACCGTGGGACAAGAAATACTAATGACACTATTTATTGCAAAAACTATGGTACAGATTTAAGCAACATACTGACACCATAAGTATCTGCAAGTGCAAGAGTGTTGATTCTTGTAAGATCAGAATAAAGACAGGAAACAAATATATGATAGTATTTAAATTGATACAATGTCAATTAAGAGGGACAGATTCATTTCTATTTAGCTTTAAAAACAAAAGCCAGCAATAAAATTATATACTCAATTTGTTTATTTCATATACAGCAATTAAAGTTTTAATAACTTGTGCAATGTTGTCGCAAAATTAAGTGTACAAAAGTGCTTTATTTGGCAATGTATTTCTAAAGTCTAGCACGGTGTCCAATACTGGTCTTCAAGGGCAACTATCCTGCATGTTTTTCTTGTGCCCCGCTCCAAAACGCCTGATTCAGTGGTTAACTTGTCCCATTCAACTCTTCTTCAATTTCTAATGAAGGCTGTTAATCACTTTCATAAAAATCAAATCAATCAATCAATCATCTGGAAGCCAAGAAACATCCAAAACAAGTGGAATAGTGGCAGGAAAGGCCTGTTCCAACACTGTTAAATGTAGGTAAAATCAAATGTTGAAAGAAAACTATAGCTATAAATAAAATGAACTATAGTGAAAGACAAGCAGCCTTTCAGAAAAAAAAGACTGAATAATGCCTGAAATTTGGAGGGTGGAGACCAAAAAATGAGGTCAGGGTTTGTAGTTTAGTTTTTTTTTTCCCCCTCTTTGAGGAGGTCAGATAAACTGCTGTCTGTTGATTCAATCAAACAGACTTGTGACTGTGGGCACTGATACCTTCTTAGTAACTTTTGTTTAAAGTCCAAGTTTTTGGGGGTGTTTTTTTTTTTTTTGCACTTAACTTAAGCACAAAACCTCCATGCATTAGAAAGTAGCTGCCTGGCAGGAGTGTTGAAAAGGTATAAAAGGAGCAGACAGGAATACAAATACTGAGAAGGAAAGACATACATGTTTTTCTTTACATGGTTCATGTACAATTTCACCCCCACAGAAACTGATAAAGGACAGGAGAGAGCACAAACAGACGTGTTTTTCCACACTTCGTGGCTAAATCAGTCCAAGCTGCACGTAGCTGTCAAACGGGTGTGACTACTTGCAGGTTATCATTTCGAGTCCAAAAAAGTTTTGTTTCTTCACTTTTTGTTCACTTGATTTTGGCGTTTTTCTAAACCTAAAGCTAGCTTCTTTTTAATACGGTCGCTAAGCTAATTGACTACTTCCGTTTATTTCTCATTAGCGCTGACGTTATTATTAATTTAAATAAAGCTAAAGTTAATTAATTTAATTAATACTAATGACTTGTTTAGTCTGAAAAGTCTTCGCAGGGTTGTTTGACATTTAATAATACGCGGTGATTTAAAATGGAAACGTAGCATATGGCAAAACTAACTTCTGTCGCAGAACTAAATCTGCTAATTAGTTAACTTTTGTATCACACAGAGTAGTTTAAAAACGTCCGTAACAACACTGACAGCTTTTTAAAATTCCGTAAAGACTTCACCTTTATCAGCGTCCTCCATAGTTTGGCTGTGAGTTGTTTTAAGTCCAGAAGTGAGCAGGTTCTTCACTTTTCAGCGGCAGGACTTCCTGTTTTCTCCTTCATGTTAACGGGGAGCTCGCTGTACGTAAGGGGTGGGGCGTCTGTATACGTCATCACGCAGCAGTGTAAACAAAGACGTGCACGTGGAACGAGTTTGACGCCTTTAACAAACGCACAAAAAGAGGTCGAGCACCCGTCTTATTACTAGGTCTTTTTGGCTTTAAAGCAACAATTAAAATATTTCTATAAATCTAATAAACTTTCTATAAATGAAAAGTCACACATTTGGTGCTTATTAAAAATAATAATATTAACTCAACAAAATTCTCATTGACTTGCATAAGTATTTATGTCAAGAAATTATATTTTAATATTTGTAAATCTTGAACTTTAAGGATTTGCATGTTTTCATTTTGGAAGTAATACTGTGAAATGACATAGGACAATGTAATTCAATACAAAATGCGATTTTTATTCTGCAACAAGAAGATTTTTCCATCAACTGATTTGATATTCTTAATTTTAATTGTTGGCATTTGAAAACCTATTAATTTGTCGGGAAGCTTTTTCAGCAGCGTATAAGTAGTTAAATAGTGCAGATGATTATGTATTTAAAAAATTGCATTCCTGGAAACAAACATAGCCAAAATGTCTCTTCAAGCAGGACAAATTAAACAACATGAGCAACAAATAATATAAATGATTTTTAATTTGGTGTAAGAATGTCAGCTCAAGTCCAAATACTGTTACTAATCCAGTCTCGAGTCTCACACAAATTTAAAATATCAAACTTGATTCACTGTTTTATTTTTAAAAATACATTGTACAATGTAATAAATCAGCTCAGCTTTTTCAGTCTGAAGTGAAGTTAGTTTTCTATTCTCCATTAAAAGATGTCAGAATTTAGTGTGGCAACACTTCACCACCCCACCTCCGCTGCAGCCTGGTAGAAAAGGGGAACTTTAGGAGCAATTTATGCAAGACTTCATAAGGAATTTAAAGTTAATACTTAGGAAACAACTCTTTTTTTTTTTCAAACAATGCAGGATTCAGTCACTAAATCTTGCAAAGACCATCCATCCATTATCATTACCCTTTTTTTTCTTTCCTTATTTAATTCAAATCTGAATAAAACGTCATGTTATGTTCTCTTACCTTCATGAAACTTTTAATTCTTGTACACATAGGCCTTATCCCTCTTGAGAATTTATCAACATGTTAAATTACTGCTCTCTAGCTTTAAGTAACTTTAGCCAGGTATAATCCTCTTATCCATCATATTATATGCATATGAGCCCTAACTGGACATTAATAAACCTACAGTATATTCTCAACAGAGTTCAGAGACCTATCAAGGGAGGAAAAAAAAAGAGAGCCTAGTATAAAAGAGTGACACCTGCTGGGACAGAATTTGATGGCATGAAGCAGAAACATCCAGGCTAAAAAAACATGATGAAATTCTTTAATTTTTATGACTTTGTGACATCCAAAGGATGATTGTTTATTAACAATGCAAAATAAGTTCCAGTCCTACCGCAGATTATTTATTGATGGATACACATATCAAAGTTCAACTATTAAAATGCAGTTGCATTTTATTTTAAAGCAGTCGTTTGTCATGAGCAAACAATAATAATAGAATGTTAATTTTAAAATAGATTTCTTTCAACATAGATTTCCTCAATATAACAATTTTAAAAATGCTGACATATTCTAATATGATTATGGGCCCTCTGCATTTATGGGGTTTATCCTAACGTATTACTTTTATAATTTTTTGTTTTTTTTACTAAATTATTTCACATATGGAAGCCCATCTATCTATCTATCTATCTATCTATCTATCTATCTATCTATCTATC